ATGATGTATCCTCTATATGTTACTGACTCACTAATACTGGTATTTTCTTATTAATAACTTCCTCTTTTAATATTGGTAACCAGATCCTACTACATTCTGGCGAGGAATTTGCGATACAATTGGCCCCGTTTAGCATAATTAGAGCCGCTTCTTTCATTTTTCTTTTTTTACCATCCGTTTCTTTTAGGACTACATTTAAATTATTCCATTGAACCCTCTGTTCATTATCCCATGCGTGTTTTCATATTTGAGATCTATCAAACTCTCTATTTTTAATATAAGATTGATGTTCACTTATTCTAACATTTAATGGTCTTGATAATTATATCTTGTGAATGCGATCAGTTTTATTTAGGTGAATTAAATGAATATTATATTAAGTGAATATTAGACCTTTCTCATTTTGATGATGTTGATCAATTCTCGCTCTTTGTGCACGGTCTCTAGCACACGTTCGTTAGATATGTGTGCTGTCTCCGGGATTCTGAGCATGCGACGGTAACACCACAACTTAAATGCTGTTAAGATTACTGTTACGAAAGACTTATCCCACATAAGAAGATTTACCACAGCTTTAGAGACAAGATATGGCCAGCAGCATCTAAAGCAGGTTTTCCAAAGTCAGCTAAAATTCGATATTAAAAACATAACGAAAACCTGCAAGAATTTGAAGCAGACATTAAAAGACTATTGCACTTGGCATAGCCTCAGGCACCTAAAGATTTTCTGAAACAAATTAGAGTACAGGCAATCATAGATAGACTACAGGATGTTGAAATACAACAAGCTATCCGATTACAACATCACAAATCGCTAAATGGAGCACTAGTCTCAGTCCAGGAGTATGAAGCGGCAAAAAGCATTTCCAGATCTCGCCCAAAATTAAGAGAAATAAGATTTCAAGAAAATGAAGAAATCACAACCACAGATAATCAACAACCTACTTTATCCCAAATTTTAAACATACTGCAAAATCTTCAACAAAAGCCACGAAAGGAAAACAGAAGATGTTTTAATTGCGGGAGAATAGGACATTTTCAAAACAATTTCACACAATTGCAAACAAAGAATGAGGCTAGAAGCTCGCCTAGATCGACATCCAGAAGCCCATCACATAGTTGTACTAGAAATACTAGTAGATATAGCTCTATAAGTAATCAATTTAGCACAAGTGACCACAGAAGCGAAACTCTGAAATCTTTAGTAGCACATTTGAAGGAGCAATTACTGATTGGTAAAAATGAAATAGAAAAGTTAAGAAACCAGATGTCAATTTTGCAGTATCAATGTCACCTTGAAGAAAAAGACAATATAACTGAAGAAGTAAGTTTTCGAAGAACCACAGTTATACAGGAAGAAGATAATGGTCAAACTTCCCTGGAAAACCTTAAAAAAATCAAAAGAAAGATAGTGACTTAAAAGTCATACGAGAATAGCTTAAAAATGGAGTAAGACCTATTTGGCAGGAAATAACCAAATACAGTGGAACTATAAAAGCGTACTGGGCTCAATTTGAATCTCTGTATCTTTCCAATGGTCTATTATATCGGAAGTGGGAAAGTCCCAAAGAAGTACGTATAGTTCAACAAGTGGTACTGCTGAAACCACACATTAAAAGTGTGTTGCAAAAACTTCATAGCAGCCGTTCTGGAGGACATTTTGGACTCAAAAGAACACTGGCCAGAGTTCGATACAGATTTTACTGGATCAATTGTCGCCGAGACGTAGAAGATTGGTGTAGGAAATGCGATTTATGTAATGATAAAAAAGGCCCTAGAACAAGAAGTTGTGGTTAAATGGCACAATATTTTTCCGGAGAGCCTTTTGAACGACTTCCAGTGGATATTCTTGGTTCACTTCCGATGACAGAGAGAGGGAACAAGTACGTAATGCTCGCAATAGATTATCTTATAAAGTGGCCTGAAATTGTACCCCTCCCTAATCAAGACGCGACTACAGTAGCAGAAGCATTTATAACACACGTCGTATCAAGACATGGAGTTCCTTTAGAGTTACATTCTGATCAAGGACGAAATTTTGAATCAGAATTATGGCAAGAATTAATGAAAATCTTGGGTAGTAAGAAAACTCACACTACGCCTCTCCATCCTTAATCAGACGGAATATTAGAAAGACATAATAGAACTGTTTGTCAATACCTTTCAATGTTTGTCTCTGATAATCAAAAATATTGGGATAGTTTAATTCCTCTATTCCTGTTAGCCTATAGAAGTTACGAACATGAAGCAACTGGTTATTCTCCATTAATGATGATCACCAGAAGAGAAATGAAGCTTCCTCAAGATCTCATTTTTAGAAGATTGCCTCCCTGCGAAGAAGAACGTTCATCCCCGACCTACATTGAAAATTTGAAAGAAAAATTAGAAAAAGTTTACGAATTTGCTCGTAAAAGTTTAAAACTTCAAAGTGATAAAACCAAGGTCAGGCTCGACTAGCATGCTACTGGTACAACTTTTGCAAAAGGTGACCCAGTATGGTTATACAATCCCACACGCAAGAAAGGACTTTGTCCGAAACTTCAACGAAACTGGAAAGGCCCGTATACCGTCCTGCAGAAAATAAATGATCTAATCTACCGCATCCAGTTTTCAGCTAGAAGTAAACCCAAGGTAGTTCATTTCACAAGACTAGCTCCATATCATGGAACTGATCCACCCCGTTGGCTTCAATCGATCCCCGATAGTCCAGTTATTGGAGGCGAATAACTATAAAGGAGGAAGTAGTATTACGAAAGATTTACCCCACATAGGAAAAGTCCATTGACGAAAAAGAAGAATTAGTTCGAGAACATTCAAGATGACATCGAAAATTCTTGAAATGTGAAGTTTGGAACGTCTGAATATATATACACACTCAAAAATGTTTTGCATAATGTAATATTTTCAAAATTATTCATCAAATCTGGTGAAATCTATTTTTTTTATAACAAAATACTTTATTACATATTAAATTGTTTGTTTTGAAAAAGAAACAATAAACAAAATTTAAAGAATTAACAATTTATTATTATTATTTATAATATGTATTATAAATATATTTTTTTTAATTTGTACAGATATAAGAACTAATACTTAATATGCCGTATTTCCACCTCTTGCATCAATGCAAGACTGAATGCGATGTCCCATGCTTCTAATAAGTGTATTAACGTAGTTCTGGTCCATGGTGCCCCATTCTTCAATCGCTGCTATTCTAAGGTCTTGTAGTGTCCTTGGGGGTGGCTGCCGGGACTGAATTTTTCTTTTGAGCATATCCCATCCGTGCTCAATGGGATTAAGGTCAGGTGAGCAAGGTGGCCATTGTAATCTGACGATATCTTCTGTCTCTAAAAAATCTGCTACATGTCTCGCACGATGCGGAGGCGCATTGTCGTCCATAAAAATAAATTCTGGACCAACAGCTCCTCGCCACAAGCGTACAACAGGCCTAAGAATGGTATTAATATAAATTTGTCCATTCATGTTACCAACAATAGGAATTAAAGGAGTTTTATTATTTAGCATGATGCCGCCCCAAAACATTATAGAGCCACCTTGATATGGGACTCTTTGGACAGCTTGGTTAAGTCTATCCTGTCGATTTGGGTTCCTCCAAATCCTAATTCGGCGATTATCCGACAAAAGGCTAATTTTCGTTTCATCAGAAAATAAGACCTTTCCCCATCTGTTGTCATGCCATTGTAAATGTTCATTGGCCCATTCCAGTCGAGTCCTTTTCTGTTCTAACGTAAGCTTTGGTACAAACAATGGTCTTCTTGTAAATAAATTCGCCGAATGTAACCTGTTTCTAATAGTCTGATCGCAAATTACAATATTATGCGCTTGCTGGAGCTCTCTTCTAATAGCTGGGGCAGTCATAGAGGGGTTTCTCCGGCAGTTAACGTTAAAAATCGTTCTTGGACATTGGTAGTAATTCTGGGTCTTCCGCTTTTTGGACGATCGCTAACAGAATTCGTCTCTCGATATTTTTTCACAATCCGAGACACATCACTCTGATTAACTCCAACTTGGACAGCAACGTCGACTTGTGTGTGGCCTTCCTCAAAGTAACGATTCTAGCTCTGTTGAACTCAGATATTACTTGCCTATTCATATTGTTTACTACAAAGTGAATAAAACGCAAACCAATTTTTACAAATATCGGTTTTCGAAAACTGATGAACACAGTATGAATTCTAAGAACCTCTGCGACAATTAAGAAACAAAAAACAAGCAGTAAAATACATTATTTTAGTAGACAAAAAAAATCAGTGCAAAAAATTTCAAATTGGAAACGTTCAGTGGCGTTACAGATAATATGCAAAACATTTTTGAGTGTGTATATATATATATATATATATATATATATATATATTACCAGATGTTTTTGACAGTTGTGATCAGTAGTTTGTGAACAGTAGTATTTTAAATGTTGAAGTTATTAATTGTAGTTAGTTAAAAAGTATTGTAATATTGTTGGTTTTAAATAAAGTTAATTTCTAAGAAGTGTAACATTACTATGCAGCCTATTAAATACTGGCTTTCAAACAGAAATTGCACATTTCTTTAAACATTCCTTTACTGCACGGACATCTGAAATGAACTATAAGATGTTTAATACACCCACATGCATAAAATATAGTAATTAATTATGATAAAAGTCAAAAGAGTTATGATAGAGTAAGCTTATTTGGTGTTCTCTGTATTTTCATTTAAAGATAAAGATTTTTTCGGTTTTAAAATTGTTAAAAATTTTTGGTATAAGAAAAACGAGCAATTATAAAAAAATATAATAAATAAATTATTCTTTAACACGTTTGCTAGCGTCGCTAAAATAATTAACTGACGTTATTTCTTACATTTCGTATACACATATCGTATATACCCGACCCCTACTTTGTACCTCACATAATGTTAACATACATACCTCTGATTATAAAGCAGTCGCATAAAAAAAGAGAGTTTTACGAGTTTTATAGTAAAATATTTGGATATACTTGCTTTATACTTATTTCTGTAGTTGGATTGTTTGATGTATTAATGTCCTGAGTAGGTGTCACCCGTGACATGTGGAATTGTGGAATCTTAGGCGTTAATGGCCTGACTTTAGGCGGTATCGTTGTTGATAGTGGTTGAAGTACCGTTGGTTTTTCATTTAGGCTTTGAACAGGAATAACGTCATCTGAAGTATCTGGTTGAGTTTCTGGTGCATAGAATCCATATTCTTGTTGGGAAAACATAAAGTATGTTTGGTTCCGAACATTAGTTACTCCGGGACTTCCTTCTTCTAATAGTTCTAAGAGTAAAAATAAAGAATATATTAATATTTCCATAAATTATTAAATTTCAAGAGCTTAAGTGCCCAAAGAGAATACACATATAGTTTGATTCTCATTATCATTATTGGTTCCACAACATATTGTGGGTCTTGGCTTGCTCAAGGATAAGTCTTCATTCTCTCCTGTTCTTCGCCTTGGCTTTCTAGTTTAGTACTTCCAATATTCTCAACTCTTCCTTCACCTGATCCTTAAGTCGTGCTCTAGGTCTGCCTCTCCTGTAAGGCAGAGTGAGACTCCATCTATTCTTTGGTTATATATATATATATATATATATATATATATATATATATATATATATATATATATATATATATATATATATATATATATATATTGTTATGATATGTAAAATCGAGAAAAATATTGGTTTGCTTAAAATATTTCAAAGTTCCAAAAAATTAGAATAATTCAGATAAGTAGGATAATGAACAACAAACATTTCGAAGAAGGAAAGTCTTTAAATTTTTGGATTACCTGTATTAAACAAAACGTAAGATATGCATAAATTATTTTCTTTGTTAAAATATATTTGAGTGACCTCGCTTAAGTGAATTCCTAGACAATTAAAGCGGTTTTTCCAAATAAATGTTGTGCAGTAATTAGGACAATAGAATGGATTTTAGAAAGATATGTTTTTGTTAGTTTTTAAGAATTGGTAGAAAAATATTATTTTGTAAACAAGTTTTAGGAAATTTTATAATTGTAGGTAAAAATTTGTGTGTTATCGAAATGAAGAAATGGGAGATGTATGACGCGTTTTGCTTGGATGAGATTGGAAAAGGTGAGAGGTTTGGTTTGAGAATAAGACTTTAGTTAGTTTTTAAAGAAAAAAAGAGAAGCAGTTGGTTTCCAAGGGTAGAAGGCGAACGGCCGTTGTTCTCGGGTAGTTTCCCAGAGGTAGAAAGCAGGAGCAGTGAACGCTTGTCAGTTTTCGTGTAGTTAGTGTATCTGATAGAAGCTGATCCAGTAAAAGATTGTAAGTTATATTTTCTACTTATATTCCAAGAGTCACTGTTGATTTTGCACCGTGCATTTGAAGGAGATCATTAAGGACGATAAACTTGCAATAATTTTGTTGTAAGATTGCTGATTACCTAGGGAGCGGCTGAGAATAGATAATATAGTCTACAAGGAACAAGGATTTGGACCACTCATCATCAGAGAGAGATAGTTTTGTTTTCTGCAGTTTTTGTTTTATTGATTTTTACACTTAATTTAGAAAGGATATAAATATTTTGATTAGGAGATTTAGAATAATATTTGGGATTTTGAGATTTCAACTAATATTGTTTGTACCATTAATTTTGAAGGTTCACGTACGTAGAACAAAATTTTGACAATCATTATATGAGATTTTGTTTATTGAAAATTTTTGAGTGTGAATTTTATTTCATTATTTTATTTTAATATATACTGTTAGATCCTATATGTTTTTTATTATTCCGGTATTCTTTGGACCTTAACTTTCACATGTAATAGCATAGATATTCAAGCACGAATAGAACCCTGAGATAAGAGAATTATAAAGTGTGATAGAATCATAGTCATACCATTTAAATAATTTTAATTGATTAATTAATTAATTAGCTAATTAATTGCTTGGCGCACTAAGACTTGAAATATCAGAATAACATATATATATATATATATATATATATATATATATATATATATATATATATATATATATATATATATATATATATATATATATATATATATATATATATATATAAATATCTATATATATATATATATATATATATATTATATATATATATATATTATATATATATATATATATATATATATATATATATATATATATATATTATATATATATTATATATATATATATATATATATATATATATATATATAATATATATATATATATATATATATATATATATATATAGTTTGATTAAAGTACTTATATACGCAGGGAATATTTTATCATTAAATCATTAAGTGTAAACGTTATTTAATAAGTTTTTATCTATAAATTTTTAATATTGGAGTGCAGAATAGCTTCTCTAAAAGGATCAGTATCATCATGCTGTACATATATTAGAGAAGTTTTAGTACATAGTAGGAGGACATAGAAATTTTTTCTTCTTTAAATGCCTTGTCCTTCAAGAACATTGAACATTTGCGATCAGTCGCATGATCTATACTTCGTCTGCAGCAGACACAAATAATGTCGTGGTACTGATTCCATATCACTGACCGATGTTTTTTGAGACAAAATGTTTGTCGTTTACGATTACATTTCTCTTCTTTTTGTCCTGAGTAATTACCGTAGCTTCTACTGTTCTCTGTAAAATATAGATCTACTTAAAGGATGTAAGCAGCTATTCTTTTTTTAGATAGCAATAAAGATGCAATACGTATTCCGAAAACGTTCTGTAATTTAGCCGAAAGAGTTCTTTTAAATAAATATACTTTTTATAAAGGATCTTTTGCTGAAATTTATTGTGATATATGGTGTAAGGCCGACTATAGAAAATCAACATTTCTTGTGAATATTATTATAGTAAATTTTCGTAGTTAATTTAATTAATTTTTAAAACTAATGCGTCATAAGTCATATATAATACAAATAAGCTATAGTGTTATCCACTAAATAACAAACAGACTTTTGTTTAATAGTAGTCATTGTTTCTTCAAGGGTGGTAACAGCTAAAATCTGATTGTCTATGGCTATGTCTCATGTTAGGGTTAGATCAGAGGCCTTCTTCAGGTCAATAAAGCAAATTTATCTTTTAATGTATCTATTACCGTCCATACTGTTATGTGAATCTCTTATGTCACTATACGTTCATTAATAATGAAGATAAGATGTAGTGCCCTTCTAGTAGTCGCTTTGTTCGTTTTTTTTGTCCTAATATATTTCTTATTCCTTCTCCTTTAATTTAACCTATTACATGATCCAATCCGACCAATAATAACGAATATATATTGTAATGCCATCACTAGGATTTTCGTTAGGGACAGACAGACAGAATAATCAAATTATATATATTTATACAGTCATGTGATATCTCTTATATTCGTTTTCGTTCATAAATAACGAATATAATGTGTAGCGCTCTTTTGCTAGTTGCCTTATTCCTTTTTTATCTTAATATAATCAATCGTATTAATTATCTTCTTTACTTTTATTTAACACAAGTTAGAGTACAATGAGCACTAGAATCCAGTATATTCAACCACGCGAATTCAATAAGAAGTTACCGCATATAAGCACCGAATATTACACTATTCCAAGAACCAGCCCTAGAGAAACCAGAGAGTTCACCCTAGGTAAATGGAAGTTCGAAGTGTTCAAGATCGAAAAAATGCACAGCAGCATTATCTTTGTCTTGTATGCAAATTTTATTACTTATACTTAAGAAGATAAATATATATTTATTGAAAAATATTTTATGTCAGACTCCTCCGAGTCCTTAGATGACTTTGAGTTAGACTTAGAAACTAATTTAAACAAAAAATTAAATAATTGCAAAGATATAGATTTATAAAAAAGATTAAATTACTTAAGAGTGCCACCTATAAATATAGATAATTTTGAAAATAATTTAAGAATATATGGCAGTTCCACAATTTGAAGTAAAAAATGTATGCGTTTTGTTACGATAAATATGTCTCATAAATATTCTTTTTAATTCTGATCTCTTCTAGATTGCAGAAAATCCAGAAGAAGGTCGAATAAAAAAAAACAGTCCGAGTGACCTTCTAGTTTGTATAAATCGAATCGCCGTCTGATTTCGAAGGCATTCTAAATTAACGGTATATTATATAAATAGGGGAACCTGTTTGTTAACAACAGTCAGTTTTTAAATTTTGAGTCGAGTTTTTGTCGGGAATATATATTGTAATATAAATAAATTATATAATTTTATTGTGAAAATAAATTAGTATCATATTGAATATAGCCTTTAATAAATTTGTAAGTATTATAAGTAGAACCTTTGATAATAAATAAAGACAATAAATTAGATTAATAAAAATACTACACATTCTTCCAAATGTTGATGGAAACCCGAATGAACTGCATGAATTTATTAAATTTTCAATATTACTTCTAAACCATTATTATGATAGACTTAATCCAGCTAATCTACAAAATAAACTTTTATTTTACGGTATTATAAGTAGCAGGTAGAGCAAAAGAAGTAATATCTGTATATTGATGTGGAACTTGGGATGAAATAAAAAATACATTAATTCAAAATTTTAGAGATCAAGGAGATGAAAACTAGCTTACAAGGGACCTAGTAAATTTGAGACAAGGCTCACAATTTATCATGCATTTTTATGAAAAAATAATGGGACTTTTAAGCCGTATTACCAACTATATAGAATTACATAACATAAATGCTGATATAATAAAAAAAGCAAACAAGAAATTTTTTGTCAACAAGCTCTCACAACATTTCTAGCAGGGATACGAGAACCAATGGGTTTCGTTATTAGAGCAATGAGACCAGAAAGTTTAGCAACAGCAATACAATATGTGCTAGAAAAAAATAATGCTATTTCATCAGCGTTGATTACAAGCGTTTATCGCTTTTTCGGTTAATATTATATATCGACGGTTAAACTGCAAAACCTCGTAAGTAGATTTTTGGTCAATTATGACTTTTATACTTTTTTGGTTTATATTTTTCCATATCTTTTAAACTACGAAATCTTGTAAGTCTATATTTAAATTTAATGGTACTAGCGACATCTACAAAAACCTCGTAAAACTAACTGTTAGCAGAAAACTCTTAAGTTTGACTTGCGTGGTTTTGGAGTTTAATTTTGTGGGACTTCCAGAAACTATTTCATTACTTGAGTGGTGGTTGTCAAATTTGTTGTTGTGTTAATAAGATTTTGAGAAAATAATATCTATTGGTATTACATAATTTTGATAATGAATTCAAGAGGAAAATATATCTTAAGCTTAATA